ACGTCCACTAGGGGATCATCACCGTCAATAAGAAGTTCCAAGTCCAGTGATTCCTCCAAGTCAATCAAGCACTCTATCTTTGGGTTCTTTGGAGGCGGCAACAAAAAGATTTCTGCTCCTGTAGCTGTGGCATCTCCAAAGTTACCAGTTATCAAAACCGAACAGTCTTCAAAAGTTTCTCGTCGAATGTCAAGCTATACTAGCACTTCAGAGACATCAACATCCACACAAGAGGTACGTGAAACGACTACGACAACCATTACACGTATTCCAGTCAATGGATTCTTTTCAACAGTTCCATCTTACCAAGAATCCGAGAGAAGTCCTTCGGACGGTGAGTTCCACTTTACTGATATTGATCTCAAACTGATTCTGTCTAGAGTCGGTTTTCTCTGGTTATACTGGAAGATCCGCGGGAACTAAGTCATCATGGGGCTCCATGGTAGATGGACAAAGCAAGAATCGTTTTATACAGCCTCTAAGCCCAAATTCTTTTGTCACTCAAAGTACTGAGATCACTGTCGCCCCAAGTGAGGATTTCAGTGCGTCAGAACAACTAGCTACTGTCGTTCATATCACTTCTGGAACAGTTCCTATCCAAATCCAAGATTCCACAGTGAGAGAGTAAGAATCTATGTCCTGGACAGCCCAAGCCTTTGCTGACTTATTAGATCTGCTTTATCATCAACTTCCTCAACATATGATTTCCCACTTCCACCTACACACAGTCCCGAGACCCCAAAGATACCAAGCTCTCCTAGAGTACTAAAATCTAGAAACGATACGGGTGCTAGAACTACCGAGTGGTCTATTACAGCAAGGAACAGGCGTTCAGATTCATGGAGACCTCCTGAAACGTGGGCATGTCCAGCGGAAGAAACAGCTTCATCAGTAGCCTCATTGAAGTCTTCAGGGTCTCGTCGAAGGAGAAAACCTCGTGGTCGTAATCGCTCACCTTCTAACACGGAGCAGACACATTTGCAAATGAATATTCGTAAGATGGAAGCAGCAAGCAATAAAATTATTCTAGAAAGATTGAATGAAGAATGGATGGAAGTGGCCGACGCATCGGTATATCGAGAGCTCGAGCTTGAGAAACAACTTTGGATGCTCACTGCTTTGCGAGCTATCAATCGCGTTGCTAGAACCCGTGATGCTTCCAGGGCGCTCAACGGAGCACCAAAACATGGGAAAATGCTTTCGTTGTATGAAAATCATGGTGAGTAATCTTTCTATCATCTCCATCTACATGCTCACAAAAGAAGCTTCTGCATCCTTTCTTTCAGCTTTGAATCCGGAAAAACAAATACATCATGTCTCCACAAACCCTTTATCGCCAAAATCATATCCAAATGTTCATCCTCTAGCTGTTCCAGGACCTACTTCACAATTATCTTATGCCTCGAATATCTTCGGCGCGGTTCATGCTATAGGTCTGCCATCTCTACTCCCTTCATCATCTATCCCCAGTATACTCAAAGAATGTCATCGTACGCTCACCTCTTCCCGTGCGTCAACCTCAGAAATTCCAGCATCGCCCACCGCGATCAGTCCACCTGGGATAACTCAATCTGGTATTCTTTATTTAACCATCCTGGATCCTTGTCCAGTTCCCTCATCACTTGGTCCACGACTAAGATCTTGGCTTGATACCCATTTAACAGTAAATTTAGAGAAGCAATTTCGCTGTTTGAATCCTACTCGTTTATTTCCTTTATGGTTGGCAGATGCAGGACTTTGGGCTGAGGGGAGCTGCACATCATCTTTGAAATTTCTAGCATGTGTTGGAATTGTAAATGGGGAAGAACAGGTAGAATGGCAGTTGAAAAGTGTGGTGGGAAGAATGCTGTGGAAAGAGATGTGGGGAACCTACGTCGAAGGTGGAAAATGGTGGTGGGATGATGCTGCAATTGTGGAAGAATGTGAGAGAATGGGAACCTGCTGGGCTGGAAGCATCATTGAAGCTGTAAAGGAAGGGTAGATCCGCGAAATACTTCATACCTTGAGTGTTTGGCTGAGGCTCTACGGTTATGGATTTCTGTTTCTCCACGTTTTATGGAAAACGGCGTTTGGTTGCGATGCGTATACCTTCCTCGTTTCTTGTATAGTCTCCTTTCAATGTCCTTGGCTCCTGGATATTGATTTTATTTCGTGTAACGATTGATTTCAACGGTCGATGTCCAAATTTTCAAAATATATATTAATTTGTACACCATGAGATGCAAACCCAAACACACAAGATTATGCTCTCAAACCGTTGCACCTACCTGTATGCTCCCGTGGATGCTGCCGCATATCTGCAGCCATCCCTCAAATCTGGCCCCCACCTTCCCATCCCATCTCTTTACATCCATTGCGGTTCCATTACATATTCAGCTCATTTCCCCTGTCCTGCTTGCTCGCTTTGCTTACTTGGCTATAAATCATACGAAGCAAACTCCTTCCTAAATAGTTCCCAAAATCCACTTATCACTGACTTTCATGGGGTCAAGAAATTCTTTGTTGCATATCGTAAATCCTCGGTCGAGTCAGTTGTTTTGAAGAAATGGGATGAGAGGTCCGGTTTTTTTCGATTGGGTGGGTCGGTATTGAATGTTTTGATTGGAGACTGATCATTCGAGTAAGGATTATGGGGCCATGTGTGTTATTCTGAGTCAGGAGCGGGGAGATCTCAGATTTGAGTTCTGAGCATCTCGGGCGACGATAGCCCATTGGGTGTGTGGTCTGAAGAACATCGCTGAACGATGAAATGTTGGCTGGGTCCGTTATTTGGAATAGCAATAGATTAGTGAATAATGGAAGATCAATTGACAAATTTGCGTAATGTGTTATACAATCATGTCGCAGCTTATCCACAAGCCCACCCAAAAGAATCTTACTCACCTCAGCGTCAGCAAGTATCCGAGATCATTTCAGGGGTATGATTCACGTCTCCTAACCAATCGTCTTTTTATTCTCACGAGGGAGACATCTTGATTCGATCCTCTCCCAACTTTGAGAACCTTTGAAACATTACCAGAAACAGCAACTTCATCCATTCCGGATAATCAGATATGCAACAAACAATTCTCTCCTCCTTTATGATTGCATGATGTTGAGTTTTGTGGAATTTGTATGATGATGTTATAAAAGACTCGTATGAGGAGTGGGGTGACACCATTTATTACAATGGTGGAATTTAGATGTGAGACCACCTCATAAATTTGTACGACTTTACGAGTAGGTCTGGAAGATACATTCGCATAATCGCTACAATTCAGACCGAAAGCTTTGGTAGCTGAGTGTTTTAGTTCAGCCTTATTGCGGATATATCTGAGCGTTCCAGGTTAAACAAATGTTTTTCGCTCCTACGCGTCAACACACTGTGCTGTTTTGGATACAAGTGAAGAAATGAGAAACAGTATAATAGGGCAGCGGATAAGAGCAAATCTGAGATGTGCAACATTGAGGTTTGAGGAGACTGAGAGCAAGGCTCATTGGTTCTTCCTTCTATGCAGATGGATCGCTCTGGATATATTCATGGAGCGGGCGGACTTAGGCGCAAAGAGATGTGCAACATAAACCACGTAGGTTTTAAGCAATGGTGTGTATTGTTGGAACGCTCAAAGTTTTTTGTTTCCCTGCGCCATGTTTGCGAGATTACTCCTCGATACCAAAGCTAGTTGCTGCGTTAGAAGATAGAGGGTTTCGCGACATACACCTCTCTCTGCTCACTGAGGAGCAACATCATAGTACCTGATCAAGTCATGGTTAAACTTCGGTAGTACATCGGTACTTGAGAGTGTTCCCGACTTGATCATGTGAGCTGGATCCCACCGAAACGTGACTGGGCGATGTTGAATTGTGAACGTACTTCAGTCTTATAATTTTCAATTCTCTTGGGCGATTGACCTCACTTCATCCGTATCGTCATACACTTGCTCTTTTTCACAGGGCACGAAATCCATTACACTTGGTAATGTTACTGAATGAGTAGTCATTCGGTGATAATCTATTCCTAAGATAACTTATTTGATTTCTATCGGTCCACTATTGGTTCCTAGGTTTGCGATTTCTCCAGACTGGGAATACTAGGAGTAAGTATAAGCTTTCAAAGGTAATTTGAGACAAAGTTCAATGATCATGTAGCTTGACACTGGTGTGGCTCCTTCATATTTAGTCTTCTACACTGGCACTATTAGCTCGAACCTTGTTGCAATAAGGGTTTTTATGACCCACAATCAGCTACGAAACTCTTTCCCCGGTCGATTAAAATTGATTGCCTGGACTACTATTGAGGCATGCCAATATATACGTATTCGATCCAGCTCCTTTTCCTTCCATTCTCTCGGGGCTTGGAGTTGTGAGTTGTGGTAATAGAGAAGTTAAGTGCGGGCTTTAGAGAGCAATGATCATTGAGAAAAATACCAATAGCTTATAAATACATCAAAAATATTCACAGGGGAGGTCCTGACTGACTCTGTAATATCCTTGGGTCTCGGCTAACGTGTTAGAAAATATTCTTACCCTTCCACTGGTTCTCTATTCAAAAGTCGTGATGAACTTAATTGGGAAGATTATTTGAGATTGAACTAAGCAGCAAAAACTCAATGGACAAATGTCAGTTCGACAATCTTTTAAGGAGCGATCAATACCTAGTGGACCTAGCTTCATACTATCCCACACACCAACACCATCAAGCTTCATTTGGCCTGAATTTAGTACACGCTATAAATACTAGCTCAGTATATTTCTTGTTTGGCATTCTCTGTATACCTCACAGTCATTTTTTCGAAGTTTGCTCAAGCAGAGCTTGATTGACTAGATTCAAACTTAGTCTTAAATTGTACATCATGGATTTCTAGCCTTTCTTACCCCGTTTTTCTCTAATATATGAAGCCAGATAATTCCTCTCCACTTGCTTTTTCCATCGCACCTCGACAAAGTATCCAGGACATTCTAGAACTACAACAAATACTTCAAATATTTCAGATCTCAATCATCCACTGACAAATATCAAGATGCCTAAGAAAATCAATCAACGACGGGCAAAGATTGTGATGGCGAAAGTCGAATACGAAATCAAACCCAAGCCTCCAGCCCCAAAAAACTCTTTCGAATCGGAGTTATGCGAATCCGTCTTTCTTAACGACCTAATTTTCGATCAGATCTGCTCTCATCTCGAAATCAAAGATCTTAGCTCGCTCCGTCGTACCACTCGAAGGTTCAAAGATCTTTACGCAAGAGTCCTGAAATCTCAATGGAATATCTGCAAACAACTCTCCTACTACGTCGTTGATACTGATCAGTTTAGAGCACGAATGGGAATGCACAATGTCTTTATTACTGGTCAGATCGCACTACAATTCTTTGATCGCAATAAGACCGGTGTTCCATTCAAATTACTCGATGGAAGTGATGCCGCAATGGAAATGGTAGCTAGCTCTGGAAGTCATGCAGAAGCTTTTGCAAATTATTTCACTGAAAAAGAGCACTATATTGTTGATACATTGGGCGCTTGTATGTGTTGTAGGAAGAAGGGAGGCTGTTCAGAAGTATGCTTTCTTCTCCCAATGCCTGAATATACTTACTGATTGTTCATTAGGTAAGACTATTTAAAAGGGTTGTAACAGATGGCAGCATCAGGCGCATCCAGGTATCATACCTTGAAAACGAATGGTGTCATAGAAATGGCGGTGACTATGATTCCATTGGTAATGGCCTATACACGGCAGGTACTCTGAAGGATTCATTGACTACGGCCCAAATAAACTTCATCACATGGAATAAAGCTTATTGCCTATTTCCAAAAGCTCTTGCTGAGCATAAACTTGTCTCTTTCGAAACTAACGACATCGATCGTGCCAAACCTAACTCTTCATCAGATTATGTCAAACGCGGTTGGAAATTAGATACGACGTGGACTGCCGAAATGGGACGAATTCCACAAATAGAAGCTGGATTCAGAAGAATTGGAGATTCACAAACTTGGAAGATCGACTTGCCAAAAATCAAAGTAAATAGACGAGACAGAAAGTTGCCGGACGGTGTTATAGAATGTTCAAAATTTAGCATCCGGGCTCGTAAGAGATCGGCTGATGATGATGACGATGATCATGAGCGAACCTTTTTTAAAATAGCAGCAACTTGTGGCGTTTCTAACAAATACAAATACATCTACACTGCCGCTTGGGGTTATCCAGACGGTGGCTGGTCCCCACTTGGTTCTGAACTTATGGATTAGTTAGGCATGAGGATGTATTCAGAAACTGGATGGATGCTTTTTTCGATCATGCACCAAAGTTACATTTGAGCCGAAGTTTATTGATGTTGCGAAAGGATTTTATCAGGACAGACTCTCATCTCAATTTTATCGGTACTTCTTAGGCTCATACCAATGAGATAGGGCTATATTCATCGAAGAATAAATGTCGAGTAAGCCAGACACCCCTCTTGGCCTTTTCCCAGAAGTTTGAGTATGAGGACCAACCTGGAAATACAAGCTTTCACCTATCCCCCCCCCCTCCCCCTCCCCCTCAAAAAAGTACGGCATTGATAATCCAGAACAGCAATTTGGACAAGGTGCAGGTGGCAGGGAGGAGACGGCACATCTTAGAGGCAGAGAAGCACAATAGAGCAAGTAAAGAGATACTGCCTCTCACCACCACTACCTGGGATGACTGGACTGAAATGATATTCTCGTGATAGTACTAAAGAGGGCCGGGGACTTGACATCTTCGGATAATAGCATATATTCCATGATGTTCTTGGAACTTCAGATGATATGTCTGTCATATGGGGATGATATTCACACGTCCCATAGTTTGGCGATTTACTTATTCTTTTACACAAAGTCTGCTTAATTTAATGTACTTTGATAGTTTCATAGAACTCAGTAGAAAAAATTGAATAAGATTTGTTGAATGTGATCAATTTCCTGTATGTATACTAGATATCATTAGCCATCAAGAGATATATCTCCTCTTGATATCATTGTCTCAATACAATAATCATCACAAAGAAAGCTTGTACACACTTACAATAAGATCTCTCATAAAAAAAAAACCTTCAATCACAATCACAATCCCCCATAATAAAAAGTCCAAAACTTTCCTGAAAAATAAAATTTCATTAGATCCAAAAAAATCAAAAAGCCCAAAAGCCAAAAGAAAAAAAAGAGAATCAGGTTCGCAATCCATCACAAGAAATAGTCAGTTTCCCAACAACCTCGCTGCGATTTCTCCACTACATCCCTTCTCTCGATCTCGTTTATCTACCTAGCACACATATTAGTAATTCCTAGTTTTGTTTTCGTATCGTACTTACCTCCAATACATTTCTTGGGTGAAGAAGAAATGTGTTGGGTGATTTCATTCCGCCATTTGGGTGGAGGAGTGAAAGTTCAGTTTGATACTCCAAAAGACGGGCCGGAGAACTGGTACCTGGTCCTGATGTTGGGATTTCATGGTATGTGGTTTTTGGGGAGAATTTTGGAGATGGGGAGGCAGTTTTAGATGGGAGATAGAAGGGGTTATATTGGGATAGGGAATGGTTTGTTCTGGTTTGTTGTGATGATAGAGGTGTGGATGTTCGAGGATTGTTCTTCAGTTTCTTTGTCAGGGAAGTTCTTTGTAGATGGATCTTTCATTGCTTTGTTTCTTTTTATTTAGAAGCTTAGATATAAAAAGTCTTTGAATGATTCTTTGTGAGAATATTTCTTTGTCTCAGGACCAGAGTGTGATTGATTGTGAATACTTACCAGGCGAAAAAGATCATCAGTCTAACTACTTCACACCAATCGAGACCTATCATACCACCATTTCTAGACTCTTGCGATCCAGGATGTTGCATCTCAGCATTCATAATTTGTGATGCCGCTTGCCAAAGCTCATTGGTAGTTGCTCCCACCCAATCAGCTACTCGAGAGTCTTCTACTAACAGTCTAGAAGCGCTACAGAACCCTTGCGAAGCTCACTAAATCTACGTTTTGCCATGTTCTAACGAAAGATACGTCGTTCATTAAGCTCATTGGCACCACATAGTTTGGCAGTATCTGCATGTAAAGCTTTCACACAGAAAATATCAAAATAGAGCTTTATATACTGAGCTATATACCGAAAGAGATGGAGCGGCACCCTTTTAAGGAGATTAATCTATGAAAGTAGCACTTTGGAAGAGATAGCCACTGTCCGACAAAGAATGGTGATGTAAAACCCCAAAACTTTGGCATGTTACGAGGAGTCATATCGGAGTAAAAATAGATGATTTGAAAAACTTAGCACGTTTCCAACCTGAGACATAAATTGAAATGTGAATTTAAATATGGTGTCCGTTGACCAGTTATGTTCCATAGGAGAATGAGTAAGTTGCTCCAAATTCTTGCCCGAATCTTCGGACAATGAATGTACGAGAACGAAGTTCGAGGACCTTCCAGTATCTCGACCATGTCTTAGTTGAGCAGATCTCGAGGACTATAAATGTTACTACTTACCAATAATTCTTTCACATCACCTATCACTCATCTCTAAACATTAATTCATCATTCATTATTCACGACATCATGCCGCCCCCTACCACCATAATACATGTAATGAGACACGCTCAAGTACGTATATTCCATGTGCGTCTATAGAGATTGCCAACTAATTTCTCGCCTATAGCACGATGATTCCACCGGGCTATTAACGGATGAAGGGGAGGAACAAGCACGAAGACTTGCTCGCCTATTCCTAAACGAACGATTTTTAATGGCGCAACATATCACCCATATTTTTTGTTCGCCAGTGCCTCGATGTCAGCAAACTGCGAAAATAGCCCTCCGAGATGTGATTGCTCGTGGTATTCCAATTGTCACTGTACAAGAGCTTTCTGACAATAGGGAAGTAGGTCTCTCTTTCCTTTGGAGACACATCAGTCTTCGTGAGAGAAATGAGATCATAATGATAACTCAGGGAGTTGTTCTTAAGACACTCCTCGGTCTCCACAATATTTGTTCGTCCCCCTTTGCTCCCTCTGATGCTAAAAGACTTTGCGTAAGACACGACTAACGCAAGTATTCACTAGTGTATCAACCGGAAGAGTTCCCTAATGTTTTAATCAGGAGCTACCTTTTGATACAAGAGCTTCACTTTGTTCCTCGTCCAAGATTGCGTAGGGAGAGAGGGCCAATAGATCAACTACCTGACTATTCAACCGCACATTACCGCATGGCTTTGAAATGTGCCAGAGTTTTAGTCAAATACGTACCGATCGTATGGTTTGTCATTAGTGTGATGGGTCTAACGATTTATTTCACAATTCCGTCGTCTCAAAGGGTCCACTAGTGTCCGTACATTCGAATATCCACATTCAGTCGATATCTAATCTTTCATGATGCAAACGCAATCATCAACCACTTGGACATTCAAGATACTTACTAGGTAGTCATTAGCGATGAAATGATATCCTGGAATTGAAGCTTCCATGATAGACCTAAAAATTGATAAATCCATTGTTGTTTTCCTCTGGCTGCTATTTTATCATTCTACCACCAGGGATTAGAAACAATAGTCAATTCAGATTACAATAAAATTTCATACCCAACGAATGAAATTCGATTTGGTGAACTTGCAACCGTGAAACGAATATCTTGAAACTAAAACATGTTTTCTATGGGCCGGTAGTGTTCGGGAGAATAGAGTTCCAAGAAAATAAGCTACAAGCTATCCAGTAGTGAATGCAAACTAACATATCATCTGTTGCAGAAGAACCATTATTATCTTCTCAAAATAATAGCCTTTCAGATTAAAAGTAATGGACGGGCTTCCACTGGGCGAGTATATATTGATGGGATGTTTGATAGTGAGCCGGAATTACTAAGAACACCATGCCGCCTTGTCACAATGTTCTCTAGAGCAAATATTGGGAACTGAGATATTGATTTTTTCCATCAAGTAGTAAAGAATGGGAGAAAATGCTCCCACGCTGCAGGATATTTTCACACAGTGACGGCACATGAATATCTGTTGAGGTTGTTAGAGACACTCTCTAGAAGCGCGTGGTCATCACATATTCCCGAAATGTGAGCCAAAACTTGAGGTGCAATTTGGAATGAAGTAATGATAAATGAGTTGTATCCAAGTGTGGTACATCTTTTACATAAAGTGATTTCACTCATAGAATTATAGAAACCATAACTACATCCGTACGATTTGGTAGAGTGATAGGGCAGGAGGGCAGCAGGAAGAAATGAGGCCCGAGCTCCATTTCAGCCACACCCTGTACTAAAATATCAAGGTACAGCCACACGTTGGCGCGAAATACTTGGTCGCATTTCCCATCTCGACGCGTTCCTGGCTTAAAAGGAATTCCATCAAATACCTAACCTCAACTTCAATTACAATTTTGACCTCAAGAATCATCAACTCAATCAAGATACTGATTCGCCATTGTATTTCTCATCACCTCACCAATTTCCCAACTCAAAGTACAACTACACCGCCAAGATGACGGACTATTCCCAACTCAAGGTCCCTGAGCTCAAGAAGCTCCTCCAGGAGAAATCCTTGCCTATCTCTGGCAACAAGGCAGATTTGATCGCCAGGTTACAAGAATCCGAGAAAGCGCCCGCTGCTGAAGCTACAGGTACGTTCAATTGAAAAATGCGGTCTAGAAACTTAAAGCTGAAAATTCTTAGCAACAACGGGAGAAGATGAAATCGATTGGGACGAAGACGACGAAAAGAAGCCAGCACCTGCAGAAGCTGCGATAGCTGCAGCTGGAGGAAAAGAAGAGATCCCAAATCCTACAAAAGTTCCAAATCAAGAACCTGCGATCGATCCTGCCAAAACCACAGATTTGAAGGTTACTGGAGGCGAAGGGGTTCCAACAGCTGAAGATGGTGCAATTGCAGCCTCGGGTCCCACCACAACTGAAGTCGCACCTGTACCAGAAGCACCCAAACAAGATTTCAGCGCCGGTATTGAGAAGTCTGATGCACAGAAGGAGGCAGAGAAACGTGCTGCAAGAGCCAAGAGATTCGGTATCACAGAGGACGATGAGGCGGCGAAATTAGCAGAACGTGCGAAGAAATTCGGATTGGATAATAGTAAAATTGTGGAGGGATTGGATAGCGCATTACCGGAAAGAAGACCAAAGAGAGCTCGGGAAGATGGTAGACAAGGAGGAAGAAATTCAAAGAGACCAACACCAGACTCCAGGAGATCACAACAGGGCCCAAGAAATGCGCAGAAGTCCGGTCCAAAACCGCCTGCAGCAGGTCGTGTCACCGATAACCCGGCTGAGAAGGCAAAGGCGGAAGCTAGAGCAAAGAGATTTGCAACTGCTGAATAAAGGGACCTACGAAGATGACATAGCTATCTGTCGCAACAACACGATTAGCTAGCGTTCCTGTATACTAGTGATTTTTTTTTAATTTTCCACGGAATTCAGCGGCCTTAATCATTTACAGAATACTATTGATACGAAACATTTACTCCCTCTTGTTTTGGATCCCGTGAGCACTTCAATTTCCTAAAAAGATACGTCAAAACAAGCTCTGTCCGTGCATTCAGATCAAGTGCCATTTCCACGGGGACTTTTGCAGTTGTATTTTATCTATCTCAATGGTTTTCAACGTTCAGGGGCAAGGTCCATCCAGGTCTCGGACAAATATATCATTATGAGCATGCAACAGTTGGAATTTTGAATGTTGGGAAGAATAATAGGAACCAATAACCACTTGTGATTTGAGCAAGAGATATAATAGGCACTCGATAGTGCCAGGGGAAGGTCGATTGAAATCTTGACGTCCAACGATTATCCTTTGAGCTTCCCGAAGGATCTGCACTATGCATTTGATGGAACCAAGTACCGCGAATGGAAATTCCCAAGTGACTTTTGTAGATGTGATAGGAGTAGCAGTAGCAGAGAAAATGGTAAATATCCGCATCTACACACCTAAAAAGACGTGCACGCCGATGCCCGGAAAAAAGCTCTCTTGGATCAACAATTTCCTCATCCAATAACATGAGAGAACCGTCGATTTTCCCCAAATCTAGTACGCCATCGATGTTCCAGACAGTAAAAGCGAAATAATACAGAGTAGAATGGCGAGACGTAACTGGGAGACTGGACTGGGTTTACAGCCATACATTTGAGCATCACGTTACCGTTTTGGACCCGAAGTTAGGGAAAGCGGTACGGAGTACGTCTTCTGGTGGTCCAATGAGAGGATCGAGAACCCTGGTCGATGGGCATTCATCCATCACCCGTCCGTGGCTTGGAAGTTGGGAAATGGATGGTTGCGGTGCGGTGCGGTGCGGTGCGGTGCTGGGGCTCGGAAAAAGGGTTTTCGGTGGGTGATGCAGTGTTTTTATCGTGTTTGATTGATGGATGGATGGATGGATGGATGGATGGATTGATGGATATTTTCTTTCCCCCTCTTCTCTTCTCTTCTCTTCTTTTCTCCTAAAAATAAAAATAAAAATAAAAATAGGAATAAAAATTAAAATTAAAATTTGAGTTTGACTTTTTTTTTTTCTTTCTCCCGAGAAAATTTGAAAAATTTGCCTGCCAACGCATAATAGAAACCGGTCTACGAGTACGATACCTAGGTAGAAAAAACCTCAACATCCGGTACCTATGTACCTATGGATCGTGTACCTAGTGTAGTGTAATTAGTGTAGTGTAGAAAATCATAAGAATTTTGTCCACGGGCGGGTTTCAATATGTGGCGTAGTTGTGTATGGATGTTCTTCATCGTAGGTATGGATCCATCATATCATATCATATCCATTCGTCGTGTATTCCAAGGTTATGTATGGATGTATGTACTTCGCCACAGTGCAGCGACCCAGTACAGCGACCTACCTAGTTGATGATTT